TGTTTGGCCTTGCTGGAGAACGAGCTGCAAGCTCAGCCCTTGGCATGCTCCAGCGTCAGCAGCAAACAAAATTGCAACCGCAAGGCGGTACTATTCCGTGTCTGAGGTCCACAGGGGAGACGGGCAAGAGAATCGCAAATTACTGATTTGCCGCGCGCGACAATGGGCGCGACGTTCCTCAACTTGCACTCGACTGGAGCATCAAATTTCACGTAGACAAGGACATGGTAGACACTTATGTCTATTTTTGGTCATACATTGTCTATTCTCGACCAATACCACCTAAAATCGTCATTAGCAGGCGCGACGTCGCACGCGACACCCACTGGCGCGGCGAATTACGATTCTATTGGCACATACCTAGTCCACAGTCGTTAATGTGTTGTTCTTGCATCACTTGAATGTGTTCGGAAATAAATATAACACTCTGCGATAGTTGGATGTCCCTTATGTCTCTACTCAAAGTCCAAAATTCAGTGTTGCCAGCACTATAGCTTGGGATCTGATCGACCAAACTACCACAGCGAACGGGAATGGCCCGCGGTCAGTGTCGCACTAAAGAGAGCAATGGGGCTCCAAGCAAACGTGAGAGGGCGCAGGCAAACAGCGCGGGTGGCTATGCCAAAGACGAACTAAAGATTTGCCTCCGTACCTGTACCCGTGCCTCCCTTCCATGTTCGAGGTGAATGGGTCTGCAGCTATAGTAGCGTGCCGCTTTCCTCGCTCAAAAGTGTACGGGAACGGGGCTGTGAGCCGATGGTATCGTCTCCCGCCTCCACTCGCGCTATCCTCTAGGTGTGGCACTTGCGCACATTCCAAGGTCTCGCAGTGAAACACGCTTTTGGCCGTACAGAACAGACAGAAGTGAGGGGGCACAGACAAGCAGCGTACTTAGCTATGCTTAGGCGTGTCTGGGCGTGAGGCAGCGCGGGCGGAGTATGGAGGCAATGTCGTTTCGTGCACAAATCGAGTGGTTAAAGACACATAGTACGCTCATACACATTGAGGGTGTATGAGACTATCAGCCCCCCAGATGTCGATGTGTCGTGGTCCCCCCGCCCAAACATGCCCAGGAATGGAGATACAGGGCCGTGAAACACGCTAATTCTTCCATGCTCCGCCCACTGCCTTTTTACGGCGCAGATTCCCGCCGTTAATAACATCCGTTGCAAGCGCGCCTGTCGCGTGCGGCTCCTTGGCACTTTGCCAAGTCCTTTAATTGCGCTCTCAATACAAGGAAAAACGCAATTTCCTGATGCGGATAACATTGGAGGTGCTACAAAATAAGAGCAGAAGATGATGACGAGGGTCAGAACCCTAAAAGCAACTGTGCCACTTCTGCAACATCCCTCGGAAGGCCACGTACTTCCACGAAACATGGAAATAAAAACGGCATACTCGTTAGTTTAATACAAGCAAGGCGCAATTTCCTGATGCGAATAAAATTTGAGGTGTTGCTCATGCTTCAAAATCCATGTACAAGGAGATGAAGATGACACAGGCTAGAAATGAAGCACAACGATGTAAATGTAAACAAAACAAAAATGAAAAAATCAAGGAAAGGCAAATTAGATAAACTGGCCTGTAAATTTCTACGATCCGGCGCCAAAGCCATAGAAATACTTAGAACAAACGAGTGGGACGCTTGGGCTGTTTTATTTTTCACATGTTTTGGGGAATGCGCGGCCCTTGATGGATACTGCAGATGCAGCCGAGTTGCTCTTGAGTTCTGCCCCTTGTCATCATCTTCTGCTCTTATTTTGTAGCACCTCCAATGTTATCCGCATCAGGAAATTGCGTTTTACTTGTATTTGAGAGCGCAATTAAAGGACTTGGCAAAGTGCCAAGGAGCCGCACGCGACAGGCGCGCTTGCAACGGATGTTATCAACGGCGGGAATCTGCGCCGTAAAAAGGCGCAGTGGGCGAGCATGGAAGAATTAGCGTGTTTCACGGCCCTGTATCTCCATTCCCGGGCATGTTTGGGCGGGGACCACGACACATCGACATCTGGGGGGCTGATAGTCCTCGATACACACCTCAGGTGTGTATGAGCGTACACGATGTGTTCTTCAAGGACAGGAATATACAAATACCACAATGTTACAGATTCATCTCTGCGCTCATCTAAGTTTCGGAAATGCCACAATTCGACTTCGGGGTATGTGGCTCAAGCGAGTCTCAGCATATGTGTCTTGAAAGTGTTACAATATATATGCACAGCAGAATAAAGTAATACGGCACTTTGGCTTGCGTATTCCCATCATCAAACTCCACAGGGGGAGCGTGCATATGGCCCCACTGTCAAAGCCCTTCACAAACCTTCAAAAACGATTCAGTGGCCTTCCCACTTGATCCATGGAATGGATACACCTCGTAGGTAAGCATGGTATCTCCAAGGAACACGTTCTTCCAAAGTATATGGGTGCTTGTGTGTTTCACGGGTTTTTATGAACCTTCTCTACAGGTCAAAGAAATGAATACCCGCCTTCGCAGTGGTTTCCCTCTGTTGCTGTTCTTTGATTCGCTCCAGGAGCTGTTGGCGTGTGATTTCCATTCGCATGTTCATTTCACAATACTCATCACATCTCGCGTCCCATTCGCCTAGTTTCTTATGCATCTGCAGCATTTCGTTCTTCATGTGTTTTAACTGGTGCTGGAATAAAGCGAAATGAAAGCGTGAGGAAGCTTAAACTTTAGCTTGAGGAACTTAGTGCAAAGTGGCTCCCAAGGTCCGTTGAAGACAGAATAGCCCCAATACATGCCCCGCCCCCTCGGTGAAAGCTCCGCCCACTCCAAAATCTGGATTTTTTGAAAATTTCGATTTTTTTTTTTTTTTTCAGAAATTGGAAAACTCCGCCCCTTTGAGCTAAGCCTAAGCCTAAGCAAATTTAAGCCTAAGCCTAAGCGAAGTGTGTCATTAGGTCCGCTTGTGGGAAACTCCGCCCACTTTTTTTAAACTGCCCAGTCATCTAAGGGCATCACAGATCTCTCAAATGACCACAAATTCTTTCGATTAAGGCGAGTAGGCTCATCGAACCGCATGGAAGAGGTAACTAGCGGTAAAAAATTTTGCTCGAGACAGGCTTTCTTCAAGGCAACCAAAAAACGCAGCTCTTCGAGCGTTCTCCAACGTGTGGCGTGCCCTAAATGTAATAAAGTGTGATTTATTACCTTGTTTGTGGCATGAATCCTCCTGTTCACACAGCCTTCTTTACTGCGAAGAAGGGGGCTTGTCAGGAGGAGGGTTTGGCGAGGCGACAGCAAGAGCAAGCAGCAAGTTTTTTTCTTTTTTTTCTTTCGGCAGACGACAAAACTGCGACTACAAGGCAGTCGATTTCCACCAGTTGTTGTCACTTACCCGCTTCAACAACTGGTGGGGAGAGTTGGTGGCGCCAAGTCCATCCCTTCTACACGTCCAACCATTTTCAGCGACTGTAGGCCCATGGGGCCGTGCTGCGGAGGAAGGCGATTGGAACCCCAAGAAAATCCATTCAGGCAGATGCACCCCTGATGGGATCGGTGGAATCGAAGCGACCGTCTTCTTCCCTACTGAGTAGTTAAGAACTATGGTTAAAACTTCAACATCTCCCCGAAAATCTTCGAGGAAGACCCCCTGGCGAGAAAGGTGAAAGACCGTCTTCTTCTCTACTGACTAGTTAAGAACTATGGGTGAAACGGTAATATCTTCCCTGAAATCTTCGAAGAAATCCTTTTATCAACCCCTCCTCCTTTTGACGCTCAACTCTGGAAACTCTAGGATAAACCAACTTTATGCTCTCTTTTCCTTTGCTTGATTTCCAGAATTTTGTTGTCAACACGTGCTCGCATCTGCATGAGCATGCTAATGTTGTATTCGATGTCATCGGAAATGATCGCTGAGAGCGCCCCAGTGGCGCACAGGCGGGATCCCCGTGCAAGCATCTGCAAAGAACCTTTCACAACTAGTAGGTTTTATGGAACAATTTTTGGGCGCTGATCGGCTTTGCAGGGGACACTTTGCACGATCGTTAGTTCGTTTTGTTAGTTCATGTTAACCAACAAATCTCGTTTTGGAGAGACCTGTCAACTCATGTGAAGCTACGAAGTGGTACAACTGAGGCTTTTGGGTTACAAGACTTTACAGGTTTACACGAGGCGGCCTATACTGGCCCCCACCAAGCCGAACTGCGCCCATATTTCGTTGACATACCTTTTGCTTCTCTTCTTTCAAATACTCTACCCATCTTGCCACTCTTTCAGCTAGTTCGTTCTCTCTCAAACGTGCCTTTTCGACATGATCGGTCAGCTCGCTGATTTTTGCGGACAGCTGGAATCAGTCAGATCTTTATGGACCAGTGATTGCGGGCACCTACTGAGTGAAGCTTCAGCCTCAACTTCTTTTTGAAAATCGAATGAAAAATAAAATAGGTGAAGGTAGTCGTAGTGAACTTCACTTGGCATATCTCGTTCAGTTGCTCTGTTCTTATTCGCTGTTGTTTTTCGAGTTCCCTTTCGGTACAGTTACAGCAGTTCACCAAGTCTCTGTGGATCTCTCGCAAGTCATTTTCCTGAATATTTTCTACAATATTCGCGCTCCATACCACAGAGAATGGGAGAAAGTGGTTGCGTGAACCCTTCAAACGTGGTGGCAGCTAGGTTTTGGTGACTTGCAATCTGGGAATTTCATAAGTATGTCTTTCTATGACACGAGACAGAAGGGCAGTTGTCTCGAAAGAGGGAACAAATGCTTGTCAAAATTAAGAATTGTTAACGTTAACTTCAGG